CGCTGGAGGCGTACGCGCCGGCCGCCTGCCTGCAGCGCTCGCCGTGGACGGTTTGAGGGGGCCCTTCCGGCGTCCGGCTTGCTCCCAGCCGGGCGCAGCCGGGGCCGCATTTGTTTGACAGCGGCTCCCCTCTCACATGCCCATGCATACACGTGCAGCACGTCTCACAAAGCAAGCCTAGAATCACGTGCCGTACACCCTCACCCCCGTGCCCCCGCAGTTTGACGGGCTCGGCGCCGAGGCGATCCCCGCTGCAGCGCGCGCGCCGCCGCGCGACCCGCTGTCCGAGGCGCACGCGGCGCTGTCGCTGGCGGCGGTGCCGGCGGTGCTGCCCTGCAGGGACGCGGAGAAGGCGCAGCTCTCGGCCTTTGTGGACAAGGCTGTGCGGGGAGGTGGGCGGCGCAGCATTGGAGCGATTGGGGTGGGCGACTGTGTGGGCGAATGGGTATCGCATAATGACAGTCGGCGGCGCCAGGTGTTCGCATCGTCAGCCTCGAGAGCAGACAAAAACCCAGCATGGTGCCTCTGCTTTGTTTTCGTGCGCATGGCGCCGTGCCGCACGGACGTGCGTGTGCCCGCAGGCCCTTGCCGCGCCGAGCGCCGCTGCACCCCTGCGGACTGCCAAGCGGCCGAGGCCTGCTCTGCTGCGCTCCTCTCCCCTAACCAACTACCAGACCCCTCTAGCGCCCCTCCCTCCCCCTCATAAACTGTCATCCTGACCACGCGCACATCAACCCCAATATTTGACCTGAACCACATCCCTACCTACCCACACATCAAATCAACCCCAACCCCCGCAATCAAGACGGCGGCGTGCTGTACATATGCGGTGTGCCCGGCACCGGCAAGACCGCCTGCGTGATGGAGGTGCTGGCGGCGGCGCGACAAACGGCCAGGGCCGCGGGCACCCAGTTTGTGGCGCTCAACTGCCTGCAGCTGCCCAGCCCGCTGCACGTGTACAGCAAGCTGTGGGAGCGGATCAGCGGCCAGCGGCTCGGGCCGGCCAGGTGCGCGCGCGCAAAGACGAACGAGGAGGGCCACTTGTGCGCATGTGCGAGGCAGTCTGTCGCCAGTCGGACACGCATGGGGCCCTCTTGCTCAGGCTTGCGCGCCTACTCTGAAACAGAGCCCGGCCCCGCCGCGCCGCCGCCGCAGGGCGCGCGAGGCGCTGCAGGGCGCGTTTGGCGCGGGGCGGCGGCGCTTCAGCACGCTCATAATCCTGGACGAGATAGACATGCTGATGACGCGCGACCAAGCGGTGAGTGAGGGGGGGGCATGCGGCCTGGGCGTCCGGGGCAGGGGGCGCGGGCTCGGCGAGGGGTTTGCAGGGAGAGAGGTCGGGTCCCAACATCCCTCCAATCCCAGCTGGGCATGCCTGCAAGAGTGTTGGAGCTGCCGCTGGAATTTCCCTGTAAAACGAGCTGAACGGCTGCCTCCTGACCCGCCGGCCGCGCCCCCTGTGAACCCCACGCCCATGCCCCAGGTGCTGTACAACCTGTTTGAGTGGCCGCTCGCCCCCGGCGCGCGCCTGGCGGTCGTGGGCATCTCCAACACGCACGACCTCGACCAGCGGGTGCTGCCGCGCATAGGGTCGCGCCTGACAGAGGCAAAGCTCGCGTTCCAGCCCTACAGCATACAGCAGATCAGCGGCATCCTCAGGGGCCGCCTGGCGGCCTGCTCGCCGGCGGCGCGGGGCGTGCTGGACGGGCAGGCGATGGAGCTGGCGGCGCGCAAGGTGGCGAGCGAGACGGGTGGGTGCGCGGGGGCCGCGGGGCGTGTTAGGGTTCAGCAGGCGCGGTGCAGATTGGGGGGTTGGGCGGGAAGGCGGCTGCGGGCAGGGCACTGCTGCGCGAACACGCGTGCGAGGGCGGTCAGGGGCGCACGCGAGAGGCGCCCTCCGTGTGTCGCCGCACAGGTGACGTACGGCGCGCGCTGGAGCTGCTGCGGCGGGCGACGGAGATTGCGCAGTACGAGCAGCAGCAGCAGCAGCAGCAGCAGCAGCAGCAGCAGCAGCAGCAGCAGCAGCAGCCGGCCGGCGGCGGCCCGCTTGTTCGCGCGAGCCACGTCAGTCGCGCGCAGCAGGAGCTGTTCAACGCCCTGCACATGCAGCTGCTGCGCGGCACGTCGCTGGTGGGGCGGCTGCTGCTGGTCGGCATTGTGCTGGAGGCGCGCGCCACGGGGCGGAGCCAGGTGGTGCTGCAGGTGGGCAGCAGGCGGGGAGGGCCTTGAGTGTGGTGAGGGCAACCTAGGAGAGGGTGGTTCGAGGGTACCAGGCCGCCACGGACGAGCGCATACAGGTGGCGGCTCGCAGCTGGGCCCGCAGGTTTCAGAGGCGGCCAAGCGTGATGTGCATGTGCAGGAGCGGCACGAAGCAGATTTGCCGTGGCGACTCTCCCACCGCCAGCTGTCCGCCAACGCGCGCCCCGCCCCGCACCGCCCCGCCGCCTGGGCCCGCGTCCCGCCCCGCCCCGCAGTCTGTCATGCGGCGCGTGCAGGTCGACGTGTGCCCGCTGGTGGACGAGGACCCGCCGTCCGACGGCGTGCTGCAGCACGTGGCGGCGCGGCTCGCGGCGGCGCGGCTGGTGCTCGCAGACGCCGGCCACGTCAAGGCGCGGCTGCAGCTCAACGTGGCAAAGGACGACGTGGCGGCGGTCGTGCGGGACGACGGGCGGCTCGCGCGGCTGCACCAGCTGATGGGTTGACGCGCTCTGCGTCGCCTGGCCGGGGCTGTAACCAGGCTTACATATGGAACGCGGGGGGCGGTTCTGATGGTGGGCGCAGCACGGGATCGGCGGGGGTCGTCGCATGCCATACCGCCTGAACAGAAGCCATTAGCCACGTACACTTGCCTTACATGAGGAAAAGCTGCGTGCGCTTGACTTGAATGAGAACTCGGTTGGATCATGCGAGCAGGGACGCGTTCACATGGCAGGTGTCGGTGTCAGGTACACAACAGCACCAATGGCTTCTTTTCAGCGCTGGCATGCCTCTTCAAGCATGCACTCAACTGCTGCAGATATTACTAAACATTTGAATAACCGTTATAGTGGGATCAGGCACAGCGCTTAGAACAGTGGTTAGAACACGGCGCTTAGAACAGCGATCTAAACATTTGTGCCAGGGATGGCGGACAAGGTGGAGATACCCACTGTGGGGCTGACACAGGTGATGAGGTTCATATATCTGTATCTCTGAGGCCGGTGGTGCGGGTAGGGAGTCGCCCTGCTGCGTCTGGTACTGCACTCTGGTTGGCATGGGGGGTTGCAGTGACTTGCGCTGGCTTGTCTTGACCGTGAAGAACGTTTGAGTTCGATTTCGGCTGTCTGATCGTGCACAGCGCAGCATGCAGTGGCGCCCGCCACGGTGCGCGTGCAGCACTGCAGTGACACACGCCACCCACCTACCAAGCCCAATGCCGCAAAACAAGCCCGCTAGCAACGCACAGCAGCAGATCCAGCCCCGCTCTTCACCATAAACGGCGACCACAGGTCGTTGAGCGCCTAACCGAGCGGCGCATTGCCGTGGAGAAGGCCGTCACGACGCTCGGCGAGGCGCCCTCGGGCCTGCGCGACGTTTTTGAGCTCTGCCGCGGCTTCGAGCGCGCCTTCACCAACATAGTCAATGTGAGCTCCTGGATCACATTTGTCCGGACGCATGCAGCGTGCCTGGCCGAACGCAGCGCCCCATGCAGGAACACAGCGCTGAATGCAGAAAGCGAGGGACGTTGGCGGCGGGGCCTGCACACATGCAGCTTGCGGAAGGGTGGAGGGGTGTTTTGCTCGAGGTGGATGGGCCGCGCCGCCGAGCGGCGCTGGTCGTGCGCGTGCGCAGGAGTCCCCCGCGGCCAACAAGATCAAGGAGGCGTTCTTCAGTGACAGGGGGCTCGCGGGCAACGTGGCCAAGCTGCCCCTGGAGAAGGTGTTTGAAATCGAGAGCGTAAAGAAGGTGGGCAGACCCGCTGCTGCTGCTGCGGCAGCAGCGGCGGCAGCGGTGGTGGCGGCTGCGGCGGTGGTGGGGCGGGGGCGGCGGTGGCAGCGGCGCCAGCGGCGGC